CGCTGCCGCAGGAACGCCGAGCTCCGCAGGTAGAAGGCCTGCGGCCGAAAGGGCCGCGTCCTCCCGGGGGCGGCCGCCTCGCTCGCGCTCGGGGGGCGCGCCGCCTGCAGCGGGGCCGCAGCGCCTTTAGCCCGAGGGCACCCCCATGGCTTCCGGGGTCCAGGCCGGGCAACGCCCTCCTGCGCCCCAGGCCGCGCCGGGCCGGGCGCCTGGCGGCCGCAGACGCCGTCTTCATCCCCGGCCGGCTCCGAGGCCAACTGCTTGAATCGGAGGAAATCCCTTTTAGTCTCCTGGCGAACCTTCTCAAGCTCTTTAAAGATGTACGATTCTTCTTTGTATTTCAGTCCAAAGTGCTTCGAAATCGTGGACATCTTGACTAATTCGTCCTGTGAAATAACAATATATTAATATATTTTTTTTTTTAAAACAAAACTTCTGTTGATAAATAAAATTACAGCTCAAAAAAAAACTTATCATGGTAGAATGCTCACTGTGCTTCCTGAGGAAGGAGTGGGTAGTAGTCGTTTATAGAATTTATATATAATAGTTTTAAATCCAACTGTTGGCCTTTTCAGGCAGCCCTGGTTGGTCAGTAGTTAAGATTCTGTGCTCTTACTACAGTGGCCCACACCTCCCACCTGTCAGTTGTCATACTGTGGCAGCTGCATGATGCTGAAGGCTCTGCCAGGGGAATTTCAAATACCAGCAGGGTCACTCATGGTCGACAGGTTTCAGTGGGGCTTCCAAAATAAGAAAAACTAGGAAGAAGGACCTGGCCTCCCACTTCCAAAAAAATTGGCCATGGAAACCCTATGAATAGCAGTGGAGTATCGTCTGATAGAGCGCCAGAAGGTGAGAAGATGGCACAAAAAGACCAGGCAGGGTTCCCCTCTGCTGTCCACAGGGTCCTGGGAGTCAAAATCCACTCAATGGCACTAACAGCAGCAACTGGCCTTTTCACAGGAACCGTGAAAAACTTTTAAAGCAGTTTACACTGGAAGTTTCCGAAACCACTGTTGGATTTATTTTAACATTTCTTTAGACTATAATGTAGTGTCTCACTTCCAGGCAAGAGAGACCACAGTCTGCCTAGGCATAGAAAATCTAAAGTAACCCTGCTAAGAGAGAATAGAGGCCATCGACTGTGACCTGGATGCAGCCCACAAACATGTTTTTCAATTGCTGACTTTTTCAAAAATATTAATTCATAGCCAACAATTTTAAATTGAGAGATTTGCACATAAAAATCCAAATTTGCAGTTTCTCTGGGGGGAAAAAAAAAAATGAAGCCTCTGGCAATGCAAGGGCCTAATCCCTACTCCTGTAGCAGGATGGCAGTTTCCCCTTCCTTCAGCTGGTCCTGGGGTCTCCATCCCACACCCAGCACACTTCCCTCAATGTGTCACCTGAGCTAGAGCAGAGTGTATGAAAGGAGAGAGGTGATCAGACACGGTGGGCTGCAGAGAGATCCTGAGGCGTTGAATGCCAAATGTTTGTACTTTTTCTGCCGGCTACTGGGAACCACTTAAAAACTTTTAACAGAAAAGTGGGTTGATAAGATCTAGTGCTTGGGGGATATTAACATTGAGTGGGAGAAAGAATAAAGGGAGGGAGGGCAAATAAGGGTCTCCGGAGCTTGTGCCTAAGGTGTCCTCTTGGTAATGGAGCAGAGTGAAAATAGAGACATAACAAGGTAAGAGATAGGATCTGGCCAATGATTGGGAATAAATGGGAGCAATTAACACCTCTTCATAAAATAGGAACTTCCGATTGCCTTGATGAAGTCTTGGTCATAACCAAGTGCATAATGAAGCTTCTGCTATTCACTAAACTGTACAATTAAAAATGTTAAGATGGTAAATTCTATGTTATGTGTATTATCATACTTTAAAAAAAAAAAAAAAACTTCTGCTATTCAGCAGGGCCAGCTATGATCATAACTGGATTCTGAGATCTTGAGAGCTCTAAGGTCATTACCAAAAGCCGGACTAACAGAAAATATAAAGAGAGAAGGGCCAATGACAGGTTCTTTGGCACCTCACCTGCGGGAGGTGGGAGAGGCAAGAGCAAGCGGAGAGCTAGGGAAATGAAGAGAGCGGAGTTCCCCAGGAGTTCCCCAGAAGCCAAGAAGAGAGTTTCAAGAAACAAGGGTAAAACAATGAAAATAAAGCAAAAAATAATGAATTGGAAAAACTAATTTATTTCTTAGAAAATCCAAGCCCAAGGTTCTTTGAAAATAAAATAAAATAGTAAAGCAGAAACACCTATGGAATATCATTATTATTTGCAAATATGATTATCTGCCCGGAAAACATAAGCACTAAAAAACTATTTAAAATTATAACAGCGTTCTGCAAGGCATTTAAGTTAAAAAAATTTATACAAAAACCAATAACTTCCTTTACACCAAAATGATCCATTCAAAAGCATAATGGTAAAATTCCAGTTATAATTTATTTAAAAGAGTAAATATCTAGGAATAAACATGACAAGAAATGTGCTGAAACTGGAAAATAAAATTTTTAAATTTTACTGAGGGACATAAAAGAAAGACTCAACTAAAGAGAGAGACAGTTAATGTTTTTTGGTGAGAAAACTAAATATTTTAATTATATCAGGTCTTCTTGAAATATTGTATTGGTTTAATGTCATCATAATTAAAATCTAAAAATGATATTCTGGACTTTGAAAATTAATTCTGAATTCATCTGAAATAACAGGGTAGATTAGCCAAAATTTTGAAAAGGGAAATGAGGATGCACCTGTCCTATGAGATAATTAAAACTTACACAGATGTAAGAATTAAAACTGAAACACTGCTGTTAGAATCAATGTGTAGACTGAGTGAGCAAAAGAATTAAGAATAATATGGCTTATATTATAAAGACAACATTAAATTGCTGATAAAAGAATTATTATTCAAGAAATTGTGCTAAGGCAATTGGTTGACTATTTGGAGGGAGAATCACACCTCATTTTGTGCCATGCACCAAAATATGATGGATTTAAGACTTAAATGTGGAAAATATTTTATTTTACTTTGCATTTCTTTGCTTATCACCTATCCACAGTTCTTGGTTAAATTTCTTTATATCAGCTTATAAAAGAGTTGTTATTTTAACAATTAGATTTCTTTATTTATCATGTAATATGGGCAATACGAAGAAAACATTCTTTTTAGCTTCTAAATATATGTAGTCATATTGCTTTTAATCTGTAAAATATCGCTGCTGGTTCTCAGACCCAAGACCCTGCTACATGACAGCTCTCATCTGGGAATCAATAGACCTTCTTTCTCTACCCAGCTCCACCACTGACTAGACCTTGGAGAATTCAGTGCTCTCTGTAACAAGATTTCATACTAAAAATTGAAAATAATAATCCATTGCCTCTTTTCCAGGCCACAGTATATGAACATTAGAAATGATTTCTAAAGCCCTGAAGGAAGTTTGCTTATTTAAAAAATGCTGTGTAATGCTCCTCCCAGTGTTTGGCTGTTATTCTTGGCACAGGTGGTAATACGTTCATAGTGACACCATCTGCATTCTTCCTACAAAAGGGTGAGAGGTAGTGACTGGGACAGAGCAGAGCCCAGAAACACATTGACACCTGATGAGAACCCCCAACTGCACTTCCCTTTGTTTCTTAGTTCCTGCTTTGTGTTCCCTTCCCAACTTCTCCCAGGCCCTTGGTTTGCTACTGCAGTTTAACAAGTGTTCAGTGTTTAACGTTTCTCAGTACATTCCCTTGAGGTCTTCATAGGAAAGTTGCTCCTTACATGTAAAAACAAACCAATAGGAAATAGAACTTCTAAATTTGACAGAAACTTCTATGTGTTTTCAAGGTAGGTGGTATCCCAATGCTAAATGGGCAAGTCCATCAAAGCTTGGTGCCTTTATTGCCCCCACTCACCCCTCAACACTACAAAATATGTAAAATGATTTTTAAATATCCAGTCTCAGGAGAAAATAACATGTTCTCTTTTTCTTGGTAGCAATTTATTAAAACAAAGAGACTAGTTCTGGTTTGGAGATACTCAAGGGAAAATAATGTAGCTGTCCCAAAAGGAGAAAGTATTAATCTACATAAGATGTCAAGCCTGCTACTCACAATCCAGGCTGATTACGTTTACCCTACACTTTAAAATGGGACAGAATGTGCTTGAAACCTTTGCAACCTGAGCAGTAATTTCACTCTCCTCTTCTTTCCAAATTATTGGAACTCTGTGCTTTTTCCTTCCTCCTCTACCAAGAGGCTCAATGCCTGAGCAGTGAGGTAGTCAGAAGGGCCAAGAGCCAGCCTTCTCTCCCCTCCCTGGCCTGGTCAGATGTAAGGAGGGAGCTCTCTGGTCAAAAATGGCTAAAGCCCAGGGAGGGCGATCTGTGTGAATTCTCTAGACTCCGGGCTAGGTTGCTCTCTGGTTCATGCAGGTGTGGCTGCTCCCCCTATCGGAACAGAAGAACCGAAACTCTGTCCTAGATTCTAACTAAAGTAGAAATAAATAGAGCAGACCACCAAACGACTTGCTTCCAAGCTACACGAACACCTCACACAGAGAAAGGAGGCCTTCATATGTTAGGCCTAGCTTATCAGAGTATTACACTGGGAATGGAGCAAAAGCCCCAGAGGGTTATACGGATTACCTGGTCTTGACCTCCTCCTGTATATGGTCCCCTCAGTGGGAAGGGTGACCCATTAAGCGCAAGATTTATGTTCTCTTTGGTCCATGGCCAGATATTATCTCAATTCACTTCCTAAATTTCACACCAACATCAACTTCCAATACACAACACTGAAGTTCCAACAGAAACACCTAAGCCCAAGCACAGTCCATCTCGTCTAGTAAAACCTTTAGCACTGCAAGGAAAATAAAAAGATTCTGAAAGCAATATTTGCTTTTGAAATATCAGTGTTAGAAACGAGATCAGTTTGTGCACTGATTATAATTTATGAAAAAGTCTAAAAAGACATATACAAACATTTGAAGAATTCTGCTAAGAAAATGGGATAATAGTAATTTTTTCTATTTTTCCACACTTTCTATAATACTTGTTTTTGCTGCCTTTAATCCTAATAGTATCCATAATAATAATATCAATAATAGTAACTAACCCTTATATTGTGCTAGTTAAAAATGATATAGAAAGTAGAGCAAAGCTGTTTTCAATCTCAGAAAAGACTTTCTTCTAAACTATTCAGAAGCTCACAGAAATTTCAATGACTATAAAACAACTTATTCAACTCTTTATAACCCAGTCCCTAGAGTATGCCCATACCCCTTGTGAATATAGATATACACATACAAAAATACATACATACATGCATACAGAACAGGTAATGAAACAACAAAACATTCTCCCTGCCGTTTTCTTCTTCCTATGTTCTATCCTTCCTTCTTGGACTTTCTTCATCTAATTGCTTAAATGGCCAAAATAGCAAAATGAAAGGATTTTTTAAAATTATTATTATTATCATGCTTTTGACATGTTAAATGTTGCAGGCTCTCAATTTCAAAAGCAATTTGTTGCAGTTCCACATCTTACAGACCAATCCCCCACTAATAATAATTTATAAACTCTAGATAAAATATAAAAAACAACTACCCGAGGATTCTTAAAAGTAAACAAAAGCAGGCAGATTGTGGAGGAGAGTCAAAATTTATGGAGGTGAGTTTCCAAGCTTATTGTGGCCTTTCCCTAAATGCCATCCATACTGCAGAATGGCATAGTACAAGTAGCAGAAACTTTGATAGAAAGCCCTTCCTCATTCTGGCCAGAAGACTCAGAGAAAAAAGCCCAGGCAACAACCATCACCGAGGAGTGAGAGAGAAATCCCAGAGGAGAAAGAGCCAGAGAAGGGACTCCTCCAATTCTGTGTCTAAACCCCTCACAAGTCTACACTGACCTCTGAAGTGTGCAAATGTGGGACAAACTCAAGGCAACATGGCAAAGGCTTAAAGAGCTGAACAGAGATTTAGCTGAACTTAACCTCCAACACAGAGAGTGAGCTAGAGCTTAGAGTGAGTCACACCTGGTGAACTGCCTGCTGAATGAAAAACATCAACATTCTTCAGAGGGATATAACAGAATCCAGAGTCTACACAACAAAACAGTCACAATGCCCAGGACATAACCAAAATATACCTGGCATAAAAGGATCCAGAAAAATGTGACCCATTCTCAAGGGCAAAGATAATTAATAGATACCAGTTGAGAGATGCTGAAATTATTAAACGAGGACTTTAAGGCAGCTATTATAACAATGCTCAATGAAGTAAAGGAAAATATGCTCAAGATGAATAAAAAGTAGAAAATATTAGCAGAGAAATAAAAATAAACAGAAATTTTATATTTGAAAAACACAGTATTTTAAATAAAAATTTGACTAGCAGAATGGAGGTGTCAGAGAGAAGAATCTGTGAACTGGAAGATAAATCAACAGAAATTATCCAATATTTAAAATAGAGAGTAAAAAGCTTTAAGAAAAAAAAGAAGCCTCAGAGCCCTGTGACTCAATATCAAAAGCTCTAACATATGGGTAATTGTATCCCAAAAGGAGAGGGGAGAATAGGGAGGAAAAAATATTTGAAGAAATGATATCTGAAAATGTGGAGAAATACATAAATTTATAGATTCAAGAAGCTCAGTACATTCCAAACAGGATAAAGTCAAAGAAAACCACACGTAAGCTGCTGGAAACTAGAGACAAAGATAAAAAACTGAAAGCAGACAGAGAAAAACAGCACATTATTTATAGGAAACAATTCAAATGACCATGGAGTTTCCATCAAACACCACTGAGACCAAAAGACAGTAAAACAAGATTTGTAACATGCTAAAAGACAAAAAACTGTCAACCCAGAATTATATATCTAGCAAGCATATTCTTTAAAAAAAATGAAGGCAAGGGGCTGGCCGGAGTGGCATAGCGGTTAAGTGGGCGCTCTGCTTCAGTGGCCCGGGGGGGCGTTCACAGGTTTGGATCCTGGGCATGGACCTATGCACTGCTCGTCAAGCCATGCTGCGGCGGCGTCCCGTATAAAGTAGAGGAAGATGGGTACGGATGTTAGCCCAGGGCCAATCTTCCTCGGCAAAAAAGAGGAGTGTCTAATCACTAAAGCAGTGATTAGAAGGAAAAGTACAGCTTAAATGCTTAAATCAGAAAGAAGAAAGGTCTAAAATCAATAACCTAAGATTCCACCTTGAGAATCTAGAAAAAGAGGAGTTAAGTATACTCAAACTAAATAGAAGGATATAAGTATAAGGACATAAATCAATCAAATAGAAAACAGAAAAATAATTGAGAAAATTAACAAAGCCAAGAGCTGGTTCTTTAAAAAATATCAGTAAGTTTTTAAAATCTCCTAGCTAGGGTGTTCAAGAATAAAAGAGAGAGAACAAAAATCACCAATATGAAGAATGAAAAGAGGATTTTCACTACAGATCCTAAAGATATTAAAGGATAATAAAAGAATATGATAAACAACTTTAAGCCAACAAATCCAACAATTTAGATGAAATGGGCAAATCTCTGAAAATTGCAACTTACCAAAATTAACATAAGAAACAGGAAATCTGAATAGTCCTATATTAAATAAACCTATTCATTACCAAAAGTCTTACCACAAAGAAACTTCCAGGCCAAGGTGGTTCTCTCAAACACTCAAAAAAGAAATAACACCAATCTTACACAAATGTTTTCAGAAAATAGGGGAGAAAGGAACTCATTTTCTGAGACTTGCATAACCCTAATACCAACCTGACAAAATCATTTTTATATTTTTTTATTTTCTTTTTTTTTGAGGAAGATTGGCCCTAACATCTGTTGCCAATCTTCCTCTTTTTCTTTTTTTCTCCCCAAAGCCCCAGTACATAGTTGTATATCCTAGTTGTAGGTCCGTCTAGTTCTTCTATGTGGGACACTGCCTCAGCATGGCTTGATGAGCAGTGAGTAGGTCCGCATCCAGGATCCAAACCTGCAAACACCAGGCCGCAGGAGCTGAATGTGCAAACTTAACCACTACGCCACCAGGCGGGGCCCAAAATCATTTTTTTAAAAAAGAAAAATCATGTACCAATACCCCTCATTAACATAGATGCAAAAATCTTTAATAAAATATTAGAATATCAAATCCAAAAATATATTTTTAAAAAGGATAATATATCCTGATCACATAGAGTTTATCCCAGGGTTGAAAAATTCATTTAACATTTGAAAATCAATATAATTCACAATATTAACAGAATATAGTAGAGGAAAAAACATGATCATTTCAGTACATAGTGGAAAATCATTTGAAAAATCCAACACCCATGCATGATAAAAATAAATAAGTCTGGGCATACTATGAATCAGAGAACATCCTCAATCTGACTAAGAGAATTTTTTTAAAACTTACAGCTAACATTATATTTTTGGTTTCCCCCTAAAATGAAAACCAGGCAAAAATGCCTCAGCTCTTATCACATCTATTCAACACTGTACTGGAGGTCCTAGCCATTGCAATATGGCAAGGAAATGAAATAAAAGGAATGAAGATTGAAAAGGAAAAAGTAAAACTGTCCCTATTCGCAGATGACATAATTTTTAGGTTAAAAATCCTAAGGAATCTGCAAAACAATTACTAGTGCTAATGAGTGAATTATCAAGGTTGTACAATACAAGGTTAACATACAAAACCAATTGTATTTTTATATACTAGCATCAAACAATTGAAAAATAATGCCCCCCCAAAAAAAAACATAAAATATTTAGGAATTAATCTAACAGAAGATGTCCAAAATCTCTACACTGAAAATTACAAAACATTGCTAACAGAAATGAAAGACCTACATAAATTTATAAACCATATTTGTAAACTGGAAGACTCAATATTGTTAAAATGGCAGTTCTCCCCAAATAGATGTATAGATTCCACACAATCCCAAACAAAATTCCAGCAGGCTTTTTTATAGAATTTACAAACTGATTTTAAAAGGTATACACAAATTCAAATGAATGAAAATAGCTAAAGTGATTTTTAAAAAGAATGAGTTAGAGAACTTACACTACCCAATTTCAAAAGTGCTATAAAACCACAGTAATCTAGGCAAAGGTCCTGGCAAACCACAATCCTGAGTAAAGGAAGCCAGACACAGAAGAGTATATATTGTACACTTCCACTTCTTATATAAAATTCTGGAAAATGCAGCCTATTCTGTAGTGTCACACAGCAGATCAGTAGTTGGTTGGGGGCGGTAGGAGGGGGTGAGAGCAGGAGTGGACAGCAAAGGGGGCAGAGGAATGCAAAGGTCCAGGTACCTTCAAGTAACTGTTTCAAAGGTGTATACATCTGTCCAAATTCATCAAATTGAACACCTGTTCGTTACACAAACCGGACATTCTGTGCAGTTCACTGAATGTAAATCATACCTCCAGAAAGTTGCAAATAGGAAAAAAATCAATTTCTTACGCTTTTATATTTGCATGTTAAAAATAAGAACAACGACTGAACTCCTCTAAACTCCTGCAATGGTAGTCCGCAGTCCTCTCGTGTGGACCCGTGGCCTCCGAGGCCAAATACTCCTTGCACTAAGCCTACAGGGTCCCGCCAAAGAGCTTTAAGGCCACACTCAGGAAACAGCTCCCTATTCCGAAATTAGACACACTGACCTCAGCGGGGGAGGTCACCTGATGGCGTTTAAGGTTTGCCCCAAACAACCAGCCCCTGTCAAGGGATAGCAGAAAAGGTAGGGGAGACGGAAATTAAATTCCCTCCACTGTGACCTTTCACCTTCCCCACAGCCCCCGACGCCTCCCCCTCTTTTGCCTTCCTAACGCCTTTTCCTTTCCCCACAGGCTGGTCGTCACAATCTACCTATCTGTCCCTTCCACCAGGTGTTCCCTCCTCCCAGCTCCCCCTCAGCCGCGCTCTCCAGCCCCAAGCCCTTCTCCACCCCGAGCCCTATCTTCCGCCCAGCTTTTCGCGGAGGTCGCAGATGAGAGAGGCGGAAGGAGGCCACGATTGCCCCGCCCCGCCCCCGTCTCGCAGCATCTCCTTCCCACACCTCCCGACGGAGTCGCCGCGCCCCGCCCGCCGCCTCCTCTCACCCTCCTCCGGGGACGCCTCTGCTCCCACTCGGGAGGCGGGAAGGTTGGCACCGCCGCCGCGCGGCCGAGTATCCAACCGGCCTTTCGGGGGCCGAGCGGCCGGGTGGGCTGGGACCTGGTGGGCGGGAAGCAAGAACGCGCTCGGTTGCCCAGCAACCAGCCGCGCGCCCGTCCCCGCCCCGCCCCCGCGGATCCCTCCAGGCTGTGGGCGCCCAGCCCGCGCGTTTCTGCCCCGCGAGACCAGCTGCAGTGCGGCCTCGAAATTGGACCCCAAACCCAGGCTGAGCAGCCTGCGCTCTCTCGGTGGTGAAGACCCTGGTCCCAAAGTGTCTCTTGGACCGGCGTCGCCTAGATCCGCCGCTTTAGCCCATCTTGACTAACTGCTTACTTGGCACTCTTGTTCTTTCTAGATTTAAACCAATGATGCTGGACCGAGAGACTTGAAGCCCGTTTTTTTTTGGGGGGGGGGCATGTTTTTAAACTATATGTCCGCACTACATATCAGTTAAGGGTACATTTCAGGGGGTATTTTCCATGCTCCCCACCTAGACCCCAACTCATAAAGAAAATCTTGAAATCAAAGGCATGAGATTCAGACTTCTGGAGAGTTTCTATTAAAATCCCGGATTTGGAATAACCAAGACAAAAAAGAAGAAATGTTGGAGAGGATGTGGAGAAAAGGGAACCCTCATACACTGCTGGTGGGAATGCAAACTAGTGCAGCCACTATAGAAAACAGTATGGAGATTTCTCAAAAAATTAAAAATAGAAATACCGTATGATCCCCCTAGCCCACTACTGGGTATTTATCCAAAGAACCTGAAATCAACAATTCAAAGAGACTTATGCACCCCTATGTTCATTACAGCATTATTCACAATAGCCAAGAAGTGGAAGCAATCCAAGTGCTCATCAACTGATGAATGGATAAAGAAGATGTGGTATATATATACAATGGAATACTACCCAGCCATAAAAAAGACAAAATTGTCCCATTTGCAACAATGTGGCTGGACCTTTAGGGTATTTTGTTAAGTTTATTTCTTAACAAATTTCTTATCTTAAGCTTATTTCTGGCTTAAGAAATAAGCCAGACAGAGAAAGACAAACACCACATGATTTCACTCATATGTGGAAGATGATCGCGTGGAAAAAGAGAACAGATTAGTGGTTACCAGAAGGGAAGAGGGAAGGGGGTGAGTAAAGGGGTAAAAGGGCACATATACATGGTGACGGATGATAGTGGGCTATTAGTGGTGAGCAAGATGCAATCTATATAGAAACTGATAAATAATAATGTACACCCGAAATTTCACAATGTTATAAACCATTATGACCACAATAAAATAAAAAATAAAAAGATCCTGGATTCGGCCATAATCAGAGTTTCTGATGTCCAAGATAAGAAAGATTATAATAAGCAATAACTGGCATTACCTATTGAAGTTGAATATATGCATACCCTATGACCCAGTGATTCCACTCCCAATAGAAATGCATGCACACATGCACCAAGAAACATGTACACCAATATTCATAGCAGTTTCGTTCATAATAATTGAAAAGTGGTAACAACACAAATGTCCATCAAATAGGATGCATAAATTAATTGTGGTATAGTCATATAATGCAATATTATATATGAAGGAAATGAACAAACTTCATCTGTGAAGAACAACATAGACAAATCTCTCACAAATGCAACGTTGAGCTAGGAAACCAGACATGAAGGAGTACGTGCTGTACCATTCCATTCACATAAAGTTTAAAACCAAAGCCAGCAAAAACTATAGTGCTTATGGATGCATGCTCAGCTGACATATTACAAATAAACACAAGAGAGTGATCACCGTTAAGAGTCAAGACAGTAGTCATGTTGGGCGGGGGAAGGTGATGGTGAGTGGGTGAACAGCACAGGATGGGTCTTGGGGTACTAGCACTGTTCTATTTCTTAACCTTGGTGATGGCTGCTTGAGTTTTTCCTTTGTGATAAGCCACTGTTTTCTATTTTGTTGATTTTCCTGTGTTATATTTCACCATTGTGTAAAAGAGCAAAAAGAAAAACCAATTGGAGGAAGTAGTGTAGATGACAGTGCTTTGCTCAGTGCCTGGCACTTTGCAGGCCGTCAAATGTTTAGTTTATATCCCTCTACTCTCCACCAACCTCTCTCTCTCTCCAAATAGTCAGGCAACTAATAAATGAAATCAGGGAAGTGGCAGATAAAACCTTCCAGAAGTCCTCCATGAGACTCCAGATGCTGGAAGGGGGCAGCATGCGTCCCAGAAGTTCAAGATGAAAGGATGCTCTGTGCTGCACAGTCCCCTGGTGCTAGGCCTCAGAGCAGGTGGATGCACTCAGGCCCCCTCAGCCTCCCTGAAAAAGCTCCCACTCTAAAGGCACACAGACAGGTAAGGACACCCAGCTTTGCTACTCAGGCAAGTTGCTTTCCTCTCCGGGTTACTGCAACCTCATCTGTAAAATGGAGATAATATCCTTACCTCGAAGGTTTGTTGCTTTACTCCCTAACATAATGAGTTCAAAGATGGTTACTGAATGCCCACAAGATGAGGAGCATTCTACAGAGGAAGACTTGCCATCTCTGAAGTTCCACTGCACCCACATCACATCCCACTGCCCAGTGGGTGCTCCATGAGGGCAGCTTCACTCTAAGCATGGGAGTAACCCCTTCAGACAATAAGTGAATTACTTTTCTGTGCTAATTAAAATAATAAGCAAATAACCAAAGTGCTTTGGGAAGTGACTAATTATTCTTGGTAGCATCCTGGATGCTGCACAAAGATGACATATAGACCAAGTTCCTAAACTGGAAAAATTTAAAAATTAATGTAACCTTGAAATATGTCTATCATATGATCAGGAAACAATTTAAATGATAAATAAATATTTGTTCCTTAATACTTTTTATAATCAAAAATAGTGACTAAGAATTCAGATCTCTATATCATAGGATAATATAATCCATGGGCTATATACTATTAGCTTCATTTTATAGAAAAAGTACTCATCATCAAAGAGATTAAGGATTTACCTTAGGTCTCCTAGGTAGTAATTAAAGCTGTTTAAGGAACTGTATTCAAGGAAGGGGGGGGAGGGAGGGAAGGGAAGGAAGGAAGGAAGGAAGGAAGGGAGGGACGGGAGGGAAGAAGAAAGGAAGGAAGGAAGAGAGAAAGGAAAAAAGAGGGAGGGAAGGAAGAAAGGAAAGAAGGAAAAGAAAGGAAAGAGGGAAGGAGGGAGAGAAGGTAAGGAAAGAGGAGAAAAGGAAGAAGAAGGAAGAGGAGGAGGGATAGTAGTTAGTGATCTAAAGTCATTTCAGATTCATTGTTAATATCGTAATGCCTTCATAAGAAAAATGTTAATACTTTTGGTGCCATCTTTTTTTGTTTTTGTTTTTGTGAGGAAGATCAGCCCTGTGCTAACTCTGCCAGTCCTCCTCTTTTTTTTTTGCTAAGGAAGACTGGCCCTGGGCTAACATCCGTGCCCATCTTCCTCCACTTTATATGGGACCCCGCCACAGCATGGCTTGCGAAGCCGTGCATCAGTGTGAGCCTGGGATCCGAACTGGCAAACTCCGGGCCGCCACAGCGGAGCGTGCGTACTTAACTGCTTGTGCCACTGGGCTGGCCCCTGGTACTATCTTAAAGAAAGAGGAATTAGACTCAAAAGAGCAGCGTAAAATTACTCACGCAATCATTGAAACACTATGATTTCATCTAGTTTTTGTCACTCTCAAACCACCACCTGCCAGTCCTCTTGTCATCTGGTTTTGGAGCCCCCTTTTGGTTCACTGCATAGCAAGTAAGGGAAGACCCAACGTGACATTCAGCTTCCAGTCCTCCAGAGTATCCTCACAAATTCCAAACAAAATTCTCCAAAGAGAATTCAAGGCTCCTCACAATTAGGGCCTGCCCAAAGGTCTAACTATTTGGAAAATAAATAAAGTTATATCTTCACTTCATGTTGTGCAAAATAAATTCCAGCTGGATGAAAGGTTTTGTTATACAAGAGGAGCAGGTGTAGATAAGACCTGTAAGCATTAAACCACAAAAAGCAGAAATTATAAATAAAAATATTGATGGATATTTTTAAAAAACATCTATGTACTTAAAAGTAAACAAAATTATAATGCAAATAGAAGCCTGGTGAGAAACTCACAATATTTACGGCAGACAGGGGATCAATACTCTTCAGGTGAAAAAGACAAGCACTCAAAATTTTAAATTGGCTAAAGAAGGTGTGAACAGGCAGTTCCCAAAAGAAGAAATATTTATGGCCAATAGAAATCTAAAAATACCCAACTTCAATAGTCATCTCAGAAATGCAAATTAAAACAATGGTATGCAATTGTTGCCTGATCAAATTACAAGGTTGGTAATGGAGTACGTGCATGGCAGTGTGGGAACAGGATCACTCGTAGATTTCTGTTGCCATTAGATGATGTGTAGCAAAATGTCTCAAAAGCCTTAAACACTTACATGTGTTTTGACTTAGAAATCTACTTTTATTAACTTTTCCTAATTGTAGAGGTATGAGTTGTTGCCAGAACACAGGTGTGCAGAGAACAGTGCTCTAGACTTAACCTTCTAGAGAGGAGGAAACCACAGATGCTCAGGCCTTGGGGAATGCACATAAACATCTCCCTTGCTCACTGGACCTACTTCAGTGTCTGATTATATTAACACAATTCACCACTAGCAAAAGTCTCAGTCCTTGGTTTACAGCAAAGGTCAGTTTACCAAAGGTCAAAAAACACTTGGACACTATCAATATTTGGTTTTAACATCAATTACCTTAACAATGATATCAAATGCAAATTAGCAAATTAAAGTGGCAAATATACTCAGAGTTTGCTCACCCACTGTACCCAAAGGCAGCCTTGCCTGCAGAAAGCAGCCACCACAGAAACCCTGGAGCCTTCACAGCTGCACTCCAAGATGGTGACAGGAAGGAGTAGAGCCTTTCCACGAGTTACAGAATGAAGATGCCTCTGGAAAGAATTGAAGACGTCGTGTTTCACTTCCATGAGTCTTCATTCCTCTCTTCATCAGTCAGGTCCCCATGGGAAACAGATGGCATGCTCAAA